AGAAGCAATAACTGATATTGAAACAATTCAAAGCAATAAATTGATAAGTGTTTTAGGGCAATTTTCAAAGAAAATAGAAAGAAACATTAAATATTGAGTCATTACCCAAGACTTCTTGGTCATTATTCGAATATGGAAAATGCGATAATGATTTCTTTATTGAAAATATATTCATTTCATCACAATGCCTAAAAATCCATAAGCATATCGGTGTTCATTTTCAAAACATTCAAAAACCATCTTTCTCCATTTTCATGCGTCATTCAATGGAAATTTGATGGTAAAAATAATTCAACAAATTGGCTTAAAAATGCGATATTATAAATGCTTATTGTGTTACACAATGCAAGGCGGCGAAAAAAAATGATATTCTGGATGACATATCGAATTACACGTAATTATCGTCTTAATTAAACCCTTTAAAAAAAAGTGCTCACTCCTTACGACAAGGCGAGACACGTGTAGCTTCTAGAGCGCGAATAAACGAAAGGCTAATCGGATTTGAACTTTCTGGAAAATAATCGTTTCTACGTTAACAGGCTTGCGTCAAAAAGAATAACAAAAAGCACGGGCAACTCTAAACAAATCATCCCATATTTCCATATCAACATTGCGTAAGCCAATTACAGTCGCTTTTTCTTTCGCTTTTTCCACGTTGAATCTTTTTGCGTCTATTATCAAAATATTTACGTGCTGAGACGCGGGCGGAGATGTTTGTGCTGTTCAATTTTACTGTCGTTGCTCTGTAATTACGTTCTGTTCCCGCTTCTCGCCCGCGGCAGAATTACTCGACTCCGTTTCAAAATCGTCGACTGAAAGTGAAAATGCACACGAAAAAGCAACAGTTTTCCCATTTCAATTACATTTCGTTTGGGCAAATGAACGCCAGCATATTGAGCTAATGTAAATTAACGAAAAGAATGCGACGACGGACGAAGACAAGAACGAAAAAAGAAATCGATAAAATGTCACTGACCTACTTCAACATCGTCGCTATGTATAATAAAACTCTTGCACGAGTTCCCAAACGACAGTTCGTTCTAATGGTTTCGAGAACCTCCATATATGTACAGTGTACACTCTTTATACATAGAGCCAGTGCTATATTGGCCGTTTGGCGAGTATGCACTTTCGTATCACTTTTACGACAATTACCACATGCTTCATTAAATAATAATTTTTGTCAATGGACAAGAGGCTTATGCGATTTTGCCAAAACTTATGAATCATAACTGTGGGACAAAATGGAATGAAACTGAAAGACAAACTCCTCTCATTCACCGGAAAATGGCAAAAAAATGATACTTTCACGCTTCAATAGATGGTTGCCATCAAAAACAAATGACCGACGAATTTGCGACCCTTATAAACGTAACAACGGCCGCTGCTCATAAGCGATAAAAATCAATTCTTTACAAAATTATTCCATTATCACTTTCGTTGCACATTTCCGACGTTAGACACAGAAAAAAGATGATGGGGTAGACATTTCTTCTTCCAAGGAACGTATGCTCTTTTGGTCACTGCACATCGGTCAAATACAAGCATCGGATTATTATGAAATACGGTCGTAATGCGAAACAATAATGAATATTTATGGACATGAACATTTCGGTACAAATGCAACATTGATGTTTTGCGCCACTGGACTCCATTTCGCTAAATAATACATCTTCACTATATGATGTAAAAAATACGTCTTTTGTTCCAACAAAACATATTTTTATGATCTCATTTTTTTCCTGTCTCGCCCTAAAAGGCTATTTTTTTTTATCATTTGCTACTTTTTCGCACTTTTTATCAAGAAAATCTTGAATGACGCAATAGAACGTATGCATGAAAAATTTGCATTGCAAATCCATTGAAAGTATATTTTTCAAGAACACAGTTTGCTATGCTTGAAAATTTCACATTCGGTTTGATTAAGTGCGAAGAAAGAACGAAAAAAATGTTATCGATCGTTATATCGAACATCGAAAATGTTCGTTAAGTGAATAATGCATTCAACCAAGTGCATGAAGTGCATGACTTCAAAATTCTTCAAAATTGTATTAAAATTTAATCTAAGTGAAGCAGCAGAAATCATTTCGACAATTTTTCTCCAATCAATCTTAGTTAGTCTTAGAGCATATTGAGTGTCTGAAATAATCCAAATAATATACTGTTTTTGAGTAAGGCGCAATACCATGCTATTGCTGCAGCAATTTCTGCTGTTTGTTTAATTTTTCTTCACAAATTGTTTATCTATCTCATATTACAAGAAGTTTGGAAAACTCACTTTCTCCAACTCTGCAGTGGTTTTATTTTGTGCAGAATTTTCCTCAATTTGTAACCACGTCAAAATACGTCCATTCCGTACGTTTTGCTTCGAATCCGAAATAATCAAGGAATTTAGTGCTTTCAATCAATTTTATTGATTTCCCTTAAGATGTTAGCTCTTGAGTTTACGATTACGTGACCATTGAAAAGTGTTCAAAATGATGTGAAGAGAATACTTTAATCCGGTGGAATAGTCGATGCTTGAGATAAATGAAATTCCACTCTGTCTGAGCGAGAGCACTCTGTATCTTGCAAAGAGAGAAAAAACTTTGCGGAAATTGAGATTTCATTTATTGTTCATTTGTCCGATGTATTTGGCATGGGCACATGTATTGTACACGTCAGCTAATCGCGTATATGACACCGTTATCTTGCCCAAAACACTTCGATTTAATGCATTTATTGCTTACAGTTGCTGTCATTTCGGAGCGAGCAGCAGAGAACGAGCAAGACGAAGAGAACGAAAGCAAAAAAGAAGAAAAAAAAACGCTGTGCCCAATGGATATAAATAATAAGCAGAGTAAATTTTAGTGGCTTATAACCAATAACAATAAGATTGTTGCGAATGTGGATTTCGCTTTTGTTTTATTTTTATTTTGTTTATTATCATCATTGTCGGTGGTGCTGAATGCGCAACGCATCATCACGTGCGAGGGTGTGATTTTGATTGTTTTCTTTTTGGTTGCGGCAGCAAAAGAGTATGGAATAAATGTGAATGCCAAGCATAATATGTATGTGTGTGTGTGTGTGTGTGTGTGTGTGGCTATGTTTTCGGTGTTGGTACATTTGGTGCCGTTTTTATTAAGCGCTCATTTATGTAACTTGTCAAATATAATACCAGCGTAAATAAATCCCAGTTCAATTATATCGGTTGTGAGTATCTGTGTGTGGCTGTTTGCTTTATATGATAAATGCGCGCGCGCTCGCTCGCCTCAAAAGACCATGTCACACTTATATGTGAAATTGTCTTGTCTTGCTTGTTTGATTTGGATCAAAATAATTCGGCAATTTTTGCGTGATCCCAGTAGCCGTATTGCTTTCATTAAATGTTTGCTTCGTTATTAATTGTACGTGATTGAAGCGAGCAAATTGTTGTCTTTTTCATCAATCGATGCATCGAATTCCGTGGGATATGGGATAGCTCTCGTTTTTACCAAAACAAGTATATAGCCACTCATCATTCTGCAGATGATGTTAATGAAAACAGTCCCTAGAGTGCTCACAATATCGCGATTATGAAATCTGATCCAAAGCAAAAAGGTCGCAATGAAATGATTTTCATACATCTGAATACGGATCGAAATTTCGAGAAATAAACACCGTGAAAACAAATAATTTTTGAGCTAATAAAATATTGTCAATCTCATATGATGGGCCATCATTGATGACTCTTGTCATGACACCCTATCACTGCTCCTGAATGCGAATAGCGAGCGCACACACATACAGAGACAGAAAGGAAATCCATGTTATGTGACACATGAAATCATTTCAAATCGAATGGAATATCAGAAGTGTGTTGGTATCAAATTGCCTAGTCTGGGCGAAATCACTCGGGTGCTTCTTGTGCAAATACACTGTGATTTTTCTGTCGTATCGACTGCCACGCGAACATATTACACAATAAATTCAACATCATTTCACATTTATTGGCATTATTGAGATGTCATTCGATTTTTTTTCGGTGGAGTTCCAATGCCGTCATCTCTCACACGTACCGCACCACACTCACATGGCTCACCCATCATTCTTGATCCATTTTCGTATGAGAATTGAATATGAAACGTAAACTCGTCGTTATGTATGCAGCATATTAAATGTCTCTTTCAATTTTCAACTTTCAATAAGACCCGTTGAACAACAACACCGTCGAAAAGTAGTAGTCTTCGTCATGAAAGAAAAAAGCCAAGCACAGCAGGCAAACATATGAAACCACTTTTGCCGAAAAACGAAATATCTAATCTGTTTTCTTGAGGTTTATGCATGTTTTATGTTATGCCGCACATTTCGCGTGTACGTTATATCTAAGTCGAGCGCTACATTTTATTTATGTCGTTGCTTAAGCTGCCATAACACGAAAAAAATGTGACAAATCGAATGAAGATGCGCCACCGCCACAATTCTCAATGCGCTTTTTTTCTCGAGGCTGTTCACAATATTAATATTGATTTTTTTCCGAGGTGTGTGTGTGTGAACATTTTTGTCGATTCTCCTGGGACTCTTCAGCGGCTTTACTGGAAAAATTGAAATATGCATCACATGACTATACCTCTGCATCAGCTCAACTCTTTATTTTGCGGTTTTGCAACGATTCTGTTTTACAGTTCATAAAAACCCAAGCACACGCCAGTTTTCCCGTCAAATTTTCACATTTCATTTGCACACATTTCAAAATTGCTGTTGGTTTTTCATGGTTTTTGCGATAACATACACACAGCTTGTGAGATTTATTTATAATAGATGACTTACATAACAGTAGGATTTCATTAAAATGTTTATGATCCATGATTTCCCTTGGCTCCGTTACATCAAAATCACACTGTGAAAAAACTCCTGTGTAGCTAAAAAAAATCTTGAGCAAAAATATTGATGGACCACGACTTGGAATTCTATTGATTTATTGAAATATTTTGTGGAATTTCACATTGAATTGTAATTGATACATTTCAATTGTTTCATAATTAACGTAGGAGTACGTTTCCCATCACAATGCAAACGGTCAGGAAAATCATTTGAGTGGCTGGATGATCAGCAGAGACACCATTTGCTGGCTTTGGTTTTTTTATTGAACCTCCAGTTGCCGTTAGAATTGGCCTACGAGTTGACGGTGGGTTTCTGGTCGCAGCTGGTGTTCTGATCATAGTTGTTGCTGGTTTTGTGGTCGGTTTTCTTTTGGATTCTACTATCTCCGTCTCAGTTATATATTCGTCATCTGTATCATCAGGAGTTGAAGATGCGTCTGGCTTTTCACTAGAAGCTGGTTTTTCTGTAGAAGTTTTATTTTTTTCAGCGGCTGAATTTTCATCAGGCTTTGTTGTTGGCTCAGTTTTATTTTTTTCAGCGGCTGAATTTTCATCAGGCTTTTTTGTTGGCTCAGTTTTATTTTTTTCAGCGGCTGAATTTTCATCAGGCTTTGTTGTTGGCTCAGTTTTATTTTTTTCAGCGGCTGAATTTTCATCAGGCTTTGTTGTTAGCTCAGAAACGATCGGATGGACGTCTGTTTGACTTTCAAGGTTTGTATCATCAGGAGCAGCGTGCACCATAACTAGCAGAGCTAATGCCCAGACGACTCCGAGCACCTTGATTTTCATCGTTTCCTTCCTCACTATCGATGTGCTTCGTTTGTTTGAAAGTAACTTGTTTTTTGTTTCTAGATTTTCCGTGTGGGTTTGTTCGGATATTATTTTTAACTTTTTTTTTGTCTTTTATATTAATTCGTCTTTTTCTGTTTTGTTTTATATCTTTTTTTCTATATAAACTGACTGGTTTGAGAAAAAACTTTTATTTGATTGAATTGGCTTAGTTAATAACTTTTATGTTATTTGAGTTGGTTCGATGATATTTGGTTTTAGTTGGTTTGAAATTTTTTGTGTTTAATGTCGAACGGTTGAATAGAGACTGAGAATCTGATTTTGAATTCTACATTTTTTGGCACAAAATTTCGTTGACAGCGAAAAAATATTGTCGAAGGTATATTGATGAATTATTCGTATGACAAACTTGTGTTTCTAAGTGCGTTAACTATATTCAATCAAGCATACGTGGTTTTTTCTACGGTTTCCATGACTTTGATTCAATATAAAAAGCTACTTTGATATTTTTCACAACCGAATCTAAAAGCATTTGGTGCCCGATAACAGAATGAGTTATGGATTCGTTATAGTTTAATTAACATCGATAAGTATATTATAAGCGGGTAACTGAAATTGTATAACACACTCGAAAACATCGTTCAATGTACAAGAACATTCATGTATTTGCTATCAAAATGCAGCAATTCCATTCCATGCATTGGTATGAGTTTTTTAGTTCAAAATAGAGATTTTCGTTCAATTTAATTGGTTCAATTTTTTTCGAAAATATTAAGACTCTCTTGAAGTTATAATAAATCTACTTTATCATTACAGTCATAAATCATCATAGAAAAGACTCTGTTCTGTTGAAGAAAGCTGAAAAAATGTGAAAAATGTATGCAAGCTTGAATTTACATCATCTTTCTAAGTGCGGTCATTTTGATCGAAATTTCGTACCTTTACACAGGTAGAAACCGGAGCAAAAAATATGAACTATACTCGAATTCATTAAATTTTTGCTCGTTTAATTGATTCGTTGTAGTTTTTCTGACTAACACAATGGTTACTAAGTCAAATTTGCAATAAGAAATGAAATCGCGAATGCGACGATCGACATGGTTGTACTTCTACTGTCGTGGTTCTACCGTCATCTAGTGGGGTCGTCGGGCTCGTTGTGCTCGGTACAAGCAATGGGCTCATTCCTTCAATGCATTTCATTGACTACGGTAATAATACAACAGTGCCAATCGCTAAATTGATTTTCATTTCAACTGTTTTCTTCCCTTTAAGTTTAATAACTATTTTTGTCTATTTGATGATTTTTTTGTAACCGATATCTCTCTTAAATCATGAATTTTGTTCAAATTTCTAACAACATTTTGACTCACTTAAAGTTTCAAGCCACCCAAATCTATGGAAAAGTTGTTTTCATTTCAAAGAATGCATAATTTTTCATATTTGAAGCGTAACATATAACCAAGCTGAAAATGTGCCCACAAAATTGTCGCATACCATTGAAAAAGTAATAATGAGTCGGTGGAAAAACGGAAGTTTATTGGATAAAATCCGAACACTAAAATTCGCTGCAAACGGAAGTTGCTTGAAAACATCAGCAATGCTGTCGAACATATCGACTTGAGCTATTTCACCGCTCAATGTTATTAAATATACACGTGCAGTGTGTTTCGTCACTGGCAAAAGTTTCGGTGTTCGAATCAAAATATTTGTGGAAAAAGGGTGTCATTTTCGTTAATATTCATTGAAGTTGTTGTAACTTGGTATCGTTTCCCCATCGTTTAATCTCTCTATCGAACCGACGACGACAACTTCGATACACTGAGCTAATATTTATTTAAGGGTGTGAATTTACATGTATATTAAATCATATCGGGTTTACGATACGTCTATATTTCCGTAAAATTCACTTCATAAATTTGTCGCTTGCTTACGGCAACCAGCCCCATTCGCTTCCGTATCGAATGTTCACGCATCGAATTAAGTATGATTAGAATAACCCTATGCCATAATATAATATGCTGTATTCAATATGTACTTTCCACTCCATTCCATTCATATCGATGGTGTGTGTGTGTGTCGTCGTCGACGGTCTTTGTTTGGTTTGTGCGTCTATATTAAAAGTGAAATTATTTCCATATTGAACACATTTTGGGTGTATTTATTTAGACGGGATATTTTGTTTGTTTGTAAATGTCACTTGGAAAATTTGCATGCGACAGTAGACAAGGGACGGGTGGGCACATCAATGGGACGCTTCCATTGGAACAAAGACGAATAACAAATGGCAATGCGAGTTAAAGATAGAGAGAGTTAAAAGACTTTATAATTTGAGGGATTGACACGGTTTAAAATGGTAAATTTTGCTGAATATTTCAAGCGTCGCCGTATTATTCAATTTCGTTTAACATTTATTACGCTACGGAAAACATAAGGATTCGTCTGCGTATTTGCACAATTTTTCACTTATGATTATTATGCATACCGAAGTGATGCATTAGATGAGAATAAATGATTTAAATCGAAACGGTTTGCTCTGCGCGCGCCTTGCTCACATGCAGGGATCATCAGCGAAATGGTAGACGAAATTTGCATAATCGTTGTATTATTGAATTTTTCACTTAAAATCGATTGGTCACGCCATTAATATGCCGAGATTTATGCACACCATTTCAATTATCTGCCTCCTTTATTCGCCCTAGCGTATGCGCTTCTTCTCCGCTGAACGACTACACTATCAAACGACTATTTGAATCGAAATTTGTCATTACGCTTAATAAATAAAATCCAGACATTTATTGCGGCTTATTAATTTCTTTTATGGGAGAGACGACATTTTCGATGATATTTCAAGCGTGAAATTTTCGAGAAAAAAAGGCATTACACATAGAAAAAGAGCAACAATTGGTTAAATCAATTTGGTTTTTTTTAATAAAGTCGTTTGTATGCAAATTTTTTCAAATCATCCGAGAAATCGGTAATATTTTATCACCCGAAAATCGATCAAAATGTTTTTTTTTTCACGAAAGGAACCATTTCCCATTCAGGTAATAACTCTTTCATTTCCCATTATTCGTCGTTCTTTTACTCTCTGTTCGGCGCATCAAGCTCACAATTTCACGGTAAGAAATCGGCCCCTTCGACTATTTAAACAGATAATTAAGCGCTTCGGTTTGAACTTCCGTTGTGTATCAATTTTGAGACATGTGCCATCGACGAATTCGTTGAAAGCCGATCACAAAATAATTATTCGGTTATTTTTCATTTTCCGCTTGGCGTTCAATTTTACCTTCAAAATTTCCTTCGATTTCAACACTTTTCTCGATTCGATTGACTGTTTTTTTTTGCCATTTTATTATTCTCTATTCGATCTTTTTTTTCTCTGTCAATTACCAAAAAGTGTCTCTGTGATTTTCTACTCGAATTCGTCGCTTCCATAAAATCATTATTCCGAGTGAAACAATTTCAAAATGCGCTCTAATTAGCCAGATTTTTCATCAATCGAAATTGATGTTTGGCGCACGGTCATACCGTTAGAAATTCGCAACACTTGACGCTTGATTCGGTAAACGGGCACCAATTGGCACGCACACAATCCATTCCAATTTGAAACAAATATAAGAAGAAGACGGGAGAAAAAACAACAACAAACGTTTATTATTCGCATCAACTACAATTAAAATGCGATGAGCGTGAGGAAAACGAACAGAAATAATTAAAAATGAATGACAACATAAAATTGGGTTCAATTAAGAATTGGCCCGGATGTACTAACAGCACCAATGGCTACATTATTCCATCAAAAAGTAGCATTTTTGTGAAGAAAAAAAAACAATTCTAATAATGAAAAAGCGATTAAGAACGTGTGAAGAAATCAACGAAGACAAAACGAACGAATTAGAAAAGTAGCCATTTCAATCGAAAAATCCCCTTTGAATTCGATTCATTTGGATTGCAATTCTGGGCATAAAGACGTTTTTCTAAGAAAAAACAAGAGAAAAATCATCATTGGTCGCATGCTGATCAATTCGACGAAAGAAAAAAAAACATTGTCGAAATCAAATCTAATTAAAGATAAATTGAAATTTAATGCTGGAAAATGATTCATGATTTTTGCCAAGAGACAATTTCAAGCGAGTTTTAAGAAAACACATAATTGACAATGTAATGATTTTTCGGTCCAATTGACTCCATTCCGATTATGTTTTAATCGATTGGTGAAACTGAACTGCTTGTTTTTTTCATAATCGCTTCGGTTTTTTCCCCTTGCAAATACTTTTCACATTTTTTCATTTCTTTCTCTTTCCCGTTATCAATCTCACTCGTTCTTACTCTCTCTCTCTCTTTCTTTTTTCTTTCATTTACTCTGAATGAGTCTTATTTCCTCTAAAAAAATAATTCTTTGCTCTCTGACTCGTTCTTTCACTTGAAAATCTTTCACCGAAAACAAATTCATATCAATGATTCTTCCTCTTGTAACATCACCAAGAATCGAATTCTGAGTGCAATGAATCGAGTTTTAAAACCCCAACAAAGAAATATAAGCATTGAAATAAGGTGATATAGTATTGACTTTGTATCCGAAAATTGACATCGTGTATGCCTTTTTCCCGTTGTACAACGTTCTATCCGCAATTTGTCTTATCCCATCGATTCTACCTCTTTTACGTGTGTTCCATCTATTCGGCAGTCGTATTCTTTCCCATTTCTGTGCAGTATTCGTTAAACCCTTTTAATTATGCTATTAAAATAATTGCATATTTCTCTCTGTTCGCCTAAATTCTCGGTCCAAATGCTGAATATTTATTCGATTCAGTCGGTTCATCGTGTTGCGATTCCCCTTTTCGGTAGATCGGGACTAGAAATGATATAGCAACGAATGCTTTTAAAAGTGCAGCAATTACATGACAATCGATGTCTTCGTCGACCTCGGCTTTTGAAAATTAATAAATGACGTGAATGGTAGATGAACTTCAAAATCAGACGATGTCGATGCGTTGTAA